TGGCCCAGCCCGCGTTCCCGCCGGCCTCACCTCACATAGTCCCGCTTGCAGTAGGTCTTCCCGTCTCTCACGAAGCACGTGCACGTCTCGTCCAGGTACTGGCTGCACTCGGCGCACTTGAGGCAGGCGGCGTGCCACTCGAGGTCGGGCGACACCCGCAGGATAAACTGGTCGTGGATCTGACTCCCGCAGCCCACGCACATGGCCGTCCCGGGCTTCTCTGCCGGGGAAGGGCGCGGGGCCGCGTCAGGCCTGACTGCCCGGATCCCGGCCGGCCTCGGCCACTCCAGCCCCAACCCAACCCGCTCGCTCTCTCGCTTTCTTTCAAGACTTGCGACCATAAGGAAAAGTGATGAGCTCTCTAAAGGTCCAGAGCATTGGAAACGAAAAACCAGTATCTTCTGGATTGCTTAAGGTTTCTTCTGTCCCCTACCCCCAAATATTTCGCTAGTACATTCATTAATCACAGTCGTTTTGTCGACGTGTCTTGAAACTAAACGCTAACACGAAACTAAGAAGAGAATAAATACACAGGCACTGCGGTAGCCTGGACATCAACACCTAACGGTGCTGTCCCGGCATTTCCGCTCACACACTCCCACTCACAGCGGCTGCCTCCTATCCCAACACAGACACATCGTCTTTCGGCAGTCCCGGCTCATCCTCTCAGACATTTCTTAGTTTAAATATCCCAGAGCAAGCGAGAGAAAGCTTCCTAGCTTTGAAACACCGAAAGGCAAACAAACAACCACCAAAAAAAAAAAAAAAAAAGGCCCACATCCCTAAATCAAACCTAATTGCCTTTGCGCAAAACAGAAGCAGATTTCGCAGCCCGAAGTCATCCCAGCCGGCTTGAGAAACAGTGTTTACTTATAAAATAAAACAACAGGATTCCCAAAGATAAGCAGTCCTGCAGGAGATATGCATTCGTTTTTCCTCTCTTAAACTATCCTGACAAACAGAAGCCACTTGTAGAATCCACTAAACATTTTTTTGCATTAGAAATTTTGCATATTAAGCACACACACACACCCCACCCCACACACACACAGAAAGACTTACTCTTGGAATGATCACCCATAGCACCCAGAAAAGGATAATGAAAAATAATATCCACCATGCAGAAAAAGAGATGTGCGCAAAGTGTGCGGCCAGGGGCAGAAGGACGAGGGTCGCGCGTTCGGCCTCGGCTCTTTGCTAACTAACTCCTACTGCCCCGCGGAGTTGAGGGAGCGATTCCGCACCGGCCCGCACGCAGCATGACGTCAACACGCACTCGCCCCGGGCCGGAGCTGGGGGCGGGACCTGTGGCGTCACGAAGCTTCCCCAGAACTGCCGGGGATGCGGGGGAGGTGATGGGGACCGGGGGCTGATGGGCGGGGTGGGTTGGGTGGGAGGCTGGGGGTGAAGGGAGATTGGCTGGGAGGAAGTGGGCCAACCCTGATTGGCCCGGAATGAACAATGGAGTGCAACCCCCCCACCTCCGAAACCTACAAGGATCCTCTCTCCCGCCCCGGGTCTGGCAATCTGGACTGGACCTTGCGTCACCGCCTAGCTGTCTCCGCGGCCGTTACAACTCTGAGCTTCCTCTTGGACTTTCGGGGCGGTTTTCCCAGGCGCGCTGGAGCTGAGTGATGAATACCTGAGGGTGGAGGTGGCTCTCCTTTAAGAGCTCCTTCTTATATAAATTAAAAAAAAAAAAAAAATTAAACCCACTCTCAAGACAAGAGAGCCGAAGACAAGAGGGTCTAATTGGACGTGACCGTCATCGTCCAGCTGGTCACCTTTCTCCTCTCATGTGCCTTTGTTCTTTGGGTCCAAGCTAGAGAGAGAGGGTAGAGAATGACCACCTGGCTTCTGATAAACTCTATTTAAACTTTCCTGTCCGCACAACCTGTAGAAAACTTCCGATTGGGGCATTAAGTGGGTTGAGCCAGAACCCAGATCCAAATGCGCTCACCCGGGACTGGGACGGGTACTGACTCCATCCTTGCTGCTGCTGCCGCTGCTGCTGCCCCTCCTCTCTGTCCTCCACCACCACCTCCTCCTCCTCCACCTCCTTTTTTTGTTGTTGTTTTGTTTTGCTTTTAATTTGTTGTTGTTTTAAATGTAACATGGACTCCCCCGCCCCCTCATTTTTCCCCCACCCAAATGGCATAGCTCCTTCTAGGAACACTGCTGGAGTCGATTGCGCGTCCCATTTCCAAAATAAAAGATTTTTCTAAACTCTTGTGCTTCATTTCACAAACCCACTGCAATGCAAATAATCAGAAACGAACGTGAGACGCTGGGTAATTTACAGTGCTATCTGCGAGGCGGCGGCTCGTTGGTCCTGAGAAAATCTGAGAGTTCTGAGCAGAGTCCAGGCATTCTTTCTTTCAAAGAAATCGCTGTGGGTTTTGTTTGAAAGGGTTCAAAGACCGGCCCATTAATTACAAATAACATTTATCCAACCATGGTGTCTGTTCTTGTTTTCCCAGTAAAAGGAGTACCAAGAACTTGGTGTGCGCCTGGGTGGGGCGCGAGGTGAAACGCCTGCGGATAAAGTGTCTCCACCGCCATTCCAGACCCTGGCCCAGACCTTCGGGCTTGTGGGCCTGAGGGCGCAGTCGCTACAGCCGTTCTACTAAGAGCGTGACGTTGGTTGGCCTCGAAACGGGTGTAGCCAAGATCGCAGGCCCAGGCTTTGCAGAGGGCCAGGGCGAGGCCCCGAGTGCACGCTAACATTATTTGACCATGGTCCACGGTGAACGTTCCTCACCGGCCCCGCGCTGGGCCGAGCGCTTTAAGTCCCGTACAGTAGTGTCAGGCTTTTGACCTCCGCCTCTACCTTTAGAAGGTCTAGTCTTCTCACCGGTCCGGCTCTTTTTTTTTTTTTTTTTTTTTTTTTTCGACAGAGTCTCTCTCTGTCGCCCAGGCTGGAAGTCTCGCTCTGTCGCCCAGACTGGAGTGTAACGGTGCGATTTCAGCTCACTGCAACCTCCGCCTCCCGGGTTCAAGCGATTCTCCTTCCTCAGCCTCCTGAATAGCTGAGATTACAGGCGAGCGCCACCGCGCCCGGCTAATTTTTGTATTTTTAGGAGAAACCGGGTTTCGCCATGTTGGTCAGACTGGTCTCGAACTCCTGACCTCGTGATCCGCCCGCCTCGGCTTCCCAAAGTGTTGGGATTTACAGGCGTGAACCATCGCGCCCGGCCACCGGTCCGGCTCTTGTTACAGCTTACCACCCCTCGGCCAATAGGCCATTTCTTGCTTCTTCAGTCAACAGTCCCCCAAAGAGCACTCACCATGAGTGTGTGCGGGCAGGTCAGGGGTTGGGGGATGCTGCGTTTGAAGGAATGTGTTTATGTAAATGGGGGACAAGAGTGAGGGGGTGGGTATCTGTGCCTGAGGCTGTGCCAGGCCATCTGTGTGACCTCAGGCATCTTATTTTAATTCTCCTTCCCTCAGTTTCCTCATCTGCAAAATGGAGGTATAATAATTGTAGCTATCTCTATTTTGTAAGAATTAAATAAACTGTCCTCTGGAAAGGGCTTAGAGCAACACCTAGCACAGAGTAAGTACTCTATATGTGTTAATTATGACAATTATGATTGTGGCTGTATCCTTATGTCGGGAGCCTCTGCCCATCCTGCCTGCATGTGTCTGGGTGGGGAGGGGAGTTCTAAGTATGTCTCAGGGTGTGTCATCTGATGATTTCTTTGTGTATTTCGATGTGTGCTTGCTGTGTGTGTGTCTGCTGTGTAGATGGGGTTTGGAGATGTGTAGTCTGTGCATAGACTTTGTGTACAGGTTATATCTGTGAATGTGGGTGCGCAGTCAGAACTGGGAGGGGACTCTTGGTGTTTGTGTGTCTGCATGTAGAGCGAGGAGGTGCATCTGGCCCAGTGGCCCTACCCTCAGGTGACCCTGGAGTAGGCCTGGCTCCCAGTACCTACTAGGTCTTGCTCGCCAGGCCAGGAGCAAACAAATCTATAATTCAGGGGTTCAGACAGCTGGCGGGGAGAGGGCAGCTCCAGGCAGGAATCGTAGGCCCAGCTTTTAACCCTCTACTGCCCAGAGAAACTCTTCCTTCCGGTTCAGAAAACCCTGTCCTTTGAGACTCCGCTAGGGAGGTGGCGTTTGGAGAGGGTTGCCTCTTCTGGGATGCTGGGAAGCCAGGCCAAAACAAATATTTGTTCAGGGCCACCATGTGCAAAGCCCTTGTTGTTAGCCTGTTAGGTCTTAAAAGTAATGTCATGCTGTGGGTAGTACTGGGCCCCTCCAATCCTCGAGGAAACTGAGGCTCAGAGAGGGGAAGTTACTGCCTCAGGTCACAGATTAAATCAGATCTGGCATTGAACCCAGGCTGTCTGGCTCCATCTCGCTTGCTTTTTTCACTGTGCCATTGAAGAGCCACATGAGTGTAGCTCCACCATTCACCCATTTCACATCTCTGGAGCTGTAAAACCAGAGATCCATTTCAAAATCACTCCATGTGTGACTTCTGGTCACAGCCACCCCTGGGAGACCAGCACTGAGATGAGAGAAGAAAATACCAGCACCTGCTGGGCACAGCCATAGGCAACATGGATGTGGCTCTGCCCTGGTTCTCTGCCTCCTGGCTGCTCCCTTCTCAGGTATGGAGGGGCCACATGCTCTCCACATCCCAGGCTGGCACGCAGGAGACCTGGGTGCCTTGTATCCTGGGTCTTAGAGCACTTTCTCCTTATCAGGAATAGCAGCTTGAGCTCCATAGCTATGCTTGATCCCATAAAACTAGCCTGTACTGGGGAGAGTTCAGAAGCACAGAGAAGTCTCCCTGATTTTTTCTCCCCAAAACCTCTACCACATCACTCACAAAGGCACAGCCCCATGCACAATGTCCAGCCAACACAGAGGAGGCTGTTTGCTAGTGTGGGAGCATCAGTCCTCACTGTCAGTCCTCACTCAGAAAGGAAAATGAGGCCTGGTGACCTGTTACCCAGCATGTGATGGAGATGGAGCCAGAAGCCAGGTCCCCTGACCCAGGCCAGACCTCTTCCTGCTGGAGTCCCTGTGGATGAACGTCTGCTGTCCAGGGCTGAGACCCTGCTGCCCAGCTTAAGTCACTGGTCCAGGCTTCTCCTCTTGCTCCAGTCTCCATCCCCCTCCATTCTCCTTCTGCCCCACTCCCAAAGGCTTTTACTTTTCTCCAAAGGTAGTTGGAGACGTTGAATACAGCAGGCAAGAGACAGCCTCAGCATCCACATCTTCACCCACCACAGGTGTCTGAGAACTTGCTTTTGGGATGGGGACGGAGCACCATGTTTCAAAGAAGCAACTAAGGCCTGGGGGCAGGGAGGAAACTTGGCAAGTCAAGGTCAGGCTTCAGGCTTCTTGACATCCAAGACCTATGCTTTCTCCCCAGCCTTGCCTGCCTCCCCAGCCCCAGATTCCCTTTGAGCAAACAGGTACCCATAGGCACTGCAGGGCCCCTCTCCCTCCTTCCTGAGCCCCCTTCTCTCTTCCCGAAGTTACTGAGCACGTGTTGTAGCTGGGGCTCTGGGCTAAGCAGCAGTATGAGGTCTCATTAAAGGGCCCACCAATCTCCTGAGCAGGAATGGCCACGTAATTTGCAGATCCCATTGCAAAATAAAAATTCACAACCCTTTGTTTAAAAAATTATTAAGAATTTCAATGGCTGGGGTGGTGGCTCACGCCTGTAATCCCAGCACTTTGGGAGGCCGAGGCAGGTGGATCACTTGAGGTGAGGAGTTTGAGACCAGCTTGGCCAACATGGCGAAACCCTGTCTCCACTAAAAATACAAAATTTAGCCAGGTATGGTGGCACAGGCCTGTAGTGCCAGCTACTCGGGAAGCTAAGGCATGAATCACTTGAACCCGGGAGGCAGAAGTTGCAGTGACCCAAGATAGCGCCACTGAACTCCAGCCTCGGACAGAGACAGACTCTGTCTCAAAAAAATAAAAATAAAAATTCAAGACAGCAATGGCAGAGCATCAAACCAAGTGTGTCCTGCCCCTCCATATACAGGGTTTCTGTGAAGTTGGCCCTGCCTCTGAGGCAGGTCCTAATATCATCTTTCAGCTGCTGAGAAATAAATAAACCAATAACCTTCACAAGTTAACACAACTAGGAAAGAGATGGGACTGTGACTGAGACTGAATCCCACACCCTACAGCCATCCATGAGACTCAATCCCACACCCCACAGCTGTCCATGAGACTGGTTATGAACCTGTGGCACTTGAGTGTGTCCAGATGGGAATAGTTTTGTTTGTCACCTGGGTTATCATGGACG